ACCCCAAAACCCCAAAACCCCACATCACCGACTTCCCCTTGAAAAATCCCACCGCGATGCTAAAAATCCCTTCTTCAACCCTACCGTCCTTCCTCTCCCTCCACCCCTTCCCTCCATCTTCCCCAAAACCCCAAAACCCCAAAACCCCAAAATAAAGAATTTGGAAAGGGGATAAGATATATTTTAGAAAAATGGAAACAAAAGAACCTGACCACGCCAGAACTGAGAATAAACGTATCACTGAGAGTACTGGAAAAGACATCACCGAGACTGGAGCCAAGATCGGACATGACCTCAAGTTTCACACAAACCCTGAGTATCTCGAGCAGAGAGAGAAGATATGGGATGAACTCATGGAGCAACAAAACAAAAAGTTGCAAGAGTTTCCAAGAGAAGAAATTAAGGTTACTCTTCCGAGTGGAGATGTTAAAGAAGGAACTAGTTTCGAGACTTCTCCAATGGACATCGCCAAGTCCATCAGCAATTCTCTCGCCAACAGCATCGTAGTTGCCAGCGTTAAGTACAAGAATAGAGTTGGAACTTTGGATTCGGCACTCTCAAAAGTTGAAGAAGTTGACTACCAAAGCGGAGAAGAAGGTTGGATACTCTGGGACCTTACCAGAGCATTAGAAGGAGATTGCGAGCTCAAGCTCCATACTTTTGACGACAAAGAAGGAAAGACTGTTTTCTGGCACTCATCCGCTCATGTCTTAGGAGAATGCATGGAAGTCGACTTTGGAGTGCATCTCTGATATGGGCCACCAACTCAAGACGGATTTTACTATGACTCTCATGCTGGAGATGAAAAGTTTACTCAGGATCATTACAAATCTATTGAAGCAAGAGCAAAGAAAATCACCTCAGGTAAACAGAAGTTTGAAAGACTTTGGCTCAGCAAAGAAGATGCTTTGAGGCTGTTTGCTTACAATCCTTTCAAAGTCCAACTCATCACTAATAAAGTTCCTGATGGTGGATATGCTACAGCTTACAGAAATGGGCCTCTTATTGACTTGTGTACTGGGCCTCATCTTCCAACTACATCAAGAATCAAGGCTTTCAAAGTGATGAAGAACTCTTCTGCTTATTGGCTCGGAGACAAAAACAACGATTCTCTTCAGAGAGTTTACGGAATCTCTTTCCCGAACAAGAAAGACTTGACAGATTATATCCACTTCAAAGAAGAAGCTGAGAGAAGAGACCATAGACACGTTGGTAAAGTCCAGAAGCTATTCTATCACCACCCTTACTCTCCTGGATGTTTCTTCTTCACAAAGGATGGAACCATCATCTACAACAGGCTCATGGAAATGATGAGGCATCAGTACTCGTTCAGAGGATACGATGAAGTCATGTCTCCGAACATTTACAATCTCAGACTCTGGAAAATTTCTGGCCACTACCAGAACTATAAAGACAACATGTTCATGTTTGCTGGAGACGGATGCGGAATGGGAGTCAAGCCAATGAATTGTCCTGGTCACTTCTTGCTTTACAAGTCTGAGATCAGGTCGTACAGAGATCTCCCTCTAAGATTTGCTGACTTCGGAGTTCTCCATAGAAACGAACTGGCAGGAGCTCTCGGAGGTCTGACCAGAGTCAGAAGATTCCAACAAGATGATGCTCACATTTTCTGTACGAAAGAGCAGATCCACTCTGAAATCATCAACGCTTTGGACTTCCTCAACCATATTTACAGCCTGTTTGGTTTTGAGTACGAACTCCACTTGTCAACCAAGCCAGACAAGTACTTGGGAGATGACGATTTATGGGAAGAAGCCGAGAACGGACTTAAAAAGGCTCTCGACGAGTTCGGCAAGCCATGGAAGGAAAACCCTAAAGACGGAGCTTTCTACGGACCAAAGATTGACATCACTCTTTTCGATGCCATGAAAAGACCTCATCAGTGTGGAACCATTCAGTTAGATTTTCAAGCTCCAATCAGGTTCAACTTATCATACAAATCTGACCATGACAACATCGCTGAAGAGCCTCACTCCGGCTTGTCTAAACACAGCGACACTGACACTACTGTGAAGAAGTACTATGACTTCCCACCAGACGAATTCGACCCAGAGGTGTTCAGGTGGGAAGAGCACGAGTGCAAGCACGGATACAAAAGACCAGTCGTCATCCACAGGGCAATCTTGGGTTCTCTAGAAAGATTCTTCAGTATTTTGATCGAGCACATTGACGGAAAGTGGCCATTCTGGCTCTCATCTAAGCAAGCAATTGTTCTTCCAGTCTCCGAAAAATTCAATGACTACGCACACAAGGTTGACCTTGCTTTGAAGCGTGAAAAATTCCATTCAGCCGTTGACGACTCAAGCATGACAGTCAACAAGAGAATCAGAAATGCCCAGCTTGCCAAATGGAATTACATGCTCATTGTCGGACAAGACGAAGAGGATCTCGGAATGGTCAACGTCAGAACTAGAGAGGGAGAAATTATTGGACTTAAAAGAGTTGACGAAGTCATCAAAATGCTCCAACAAAACAAGCCTACAGTAGCTGATAAGGAGGAAAGTCTCTATGAGAACATTTGGAGGCCAGAAGACTATCCATTTGACGAAGAAAAATACCAAGAAGTGCTTAAGAAAGAAGCTGAAAATGCTGAAGCTTATAAAAAGAAGCTTGAAGAAAAGAAAAAATTGCAAGAAGAAAAAGCAAAAGCAAAAGCTGAAAAAGGTAAAGGAGGAAAGAAAGGTAAAGGAAAAGGAAAAGAGAAAAAAGTAGAAACTAAGCCAGAAGATACCAAGCCAGAGGAAGAAGTGAAATTAGATTCTGCTGAATAATTTATGAATCCAAATAAATTACTTCATATTGGCATTTTCAATGAATCACTATTTAAACGGGGTTTTGGGGTTTTGGGGTTTTGGGGTTTTGGGGTTTTGGGGTTTTGGGG